GTATCAAAAATGTAATTTTTCATTAAGCGATTTTGAGTGAAAAAATTAGAGAAAGTTTAGGATTTTTCCAAACTTAGCTTTTGTAGGTTGCATGTTCCCTAAATGCGTTCCTAAGGGCTTAGAGAAGCCTCGAATTGAGAAATTTGAGAGAAAACTATTTTTCCGAATTTTTATTTAATATAAATCCAAAAATTAGTTAATATTATTTATCAATTAGATGAAGGGGAGGTTTTGGCATGCTTAAGTGATAGAATTAGCAAAATGTGAAAGTCAAAATTTTGGGAATTATAGTAAATCCGAAAATGAAAATAATAATTATATATTTTTAAATAAAATTAAAATGTTAGAGATTTAAATGTAAGTAATAGAAATAGAAAACTCTTTTTCCCTTCGGTTGGAATAAGGGAAAGGAGGTGACGACTTGTACGGGAAATTTTCAAAGCAAGGCTTCTTAAGTGTAAGTGACTCTACTTGCTAGGGAAAGTATTCATTTCGTTATATATATTGCTTTATATTATTGGTTGCAAAGAAGATAGAAAAATTATTGTTAAAATTTCTTATATCATATTCATGTTCAATGGTTACTTGATGGTTTGACTTTGTGTTAAAGTTTCTTAGATCATATGAAATCATGAGCATGAGCATCTTCTTATCATTTTCATGCTTAATCAAACTTATGATATATGAATATATGAAATGCATAGCTTGTGATTGTTGATGGCGGAGTACCAAGATGTGGCTCTTTGAGCAAATACGGCCTTTGAGACAATATGGAACGAAATAAAAAGGTTATGGCCATGAATGATGTGTACCTGATCAGTACAATTAGGTACTCCGGGACGGATGTATACAATATGAATAGAAGGATAAACATATGGAAGTATATCTCATGTTATCTCATGTTAAGAAATCATATTTCATATTATCTCATGTTAGACAAGCATAACTCATGTCATGTTCAATACATAGTCAACTTATACTTGCTTCAAGATATACCTTAAGACATCTATTAGCACATGTGTAGGTTATTAATCCAAAAGTTCTTTTTTTTAAATGTACATGAACTTTAGCTGTCAATTACTAAGCGTAGCTCACTCCATAGTTTTGGAAAATTTTCAGGAGAACCCTCTCATAAGTGATGGCGGATCACCCGAAGTTTACTTATAGTCGTCACGCAACGGGTGATAGGTTCTTTTATTGCTTTTATTAGATGTGGTTCCTTACTTTACTTTTGGATGGCGTGCATAACATGAATTGTTAGAAGTTTATCATCTTGTATATTGTGAACACTATGGAAAGGAAATAAAATTATTTAGAGGCGCTTTTTGTTCTTGAAGTCTTTTTAGAAAAATTTTATTTACATGAAAGATGAATAGTGTTTGATCTGAACGTCCGATTTCGTTCCTGCCTCATATATACGAGCTTACCAGGCCGGATCGTGACACATAATACCCAAAAGGAATGAAATGAAATACATACCTGTTGTAACCCGATGGATCTACAAATATTACCAGAAATCCAGCATGAAATCCCGCGATAGCTCTGCAAGCAGCGCCGAAACAGCCCGGGTATCCTGCGATCTGCCTCGATCAAACGCCCATGTATGTCTTTAAATACCCAAGCAAACTGAGGCTTCAGGGACCGACTCCCTTCACACAATCGAGCTCCAGTCACAACTCCCTCTCTCTGAATCTACACGGTCGCAAGCCTTGCAGCCTCCGACCTCCTTCCGATCCCTTCGGTTGAGATATAGAGAGAGAGGGAATCGAGCTCCAGTCACAACTCCCTCTCTCTGAATCTACACGGTCGCAAGCCTTGCAGCCTCCGACCTCCTTCCGATCCCTTCGGTTGAGATATAGAGAGAGAGGGGGGAGAGAGAGAGAGAGAGAGA